GCGTTTCCAAACTATTGGCGTTTCATTGCCTGTGTTTTTCAGTTGAGAAAGTAAAGAGTAAGAGTGGCCCAGCTTGTTCAAGGTGAGGAGGGCAGACCTCGGACGAATCCCAGGACATCTTCAAGATGCGGAGCCCTGGTTCTCTAAGACCTTGAGACCTTGTGCCTGCTATCCATGTGCTTCTGTGGGCTGGTTGGGTTGGATTTGAGTAGATATGCAAGCTTTCTAGACAGGGTCTCCCTGTGCAGCCTGCGCAGCTCTCAAATTCAAACTCCTCCTGGTTGGTCTTTCTGGGATTACATGCACATGCCACCATGCCCAGCGTGTAGCCCTGAACTAACACCACCAGCAATCGCTTGGCTCAACACAGAGCTATCACTGACTTCAAACTATAGAACCATAGTCCTCATCTTATTTCCCTAAAATGCAGCTCCCTTTCAAACGCTTCCAGAATAAATACATCAGTCAGTCGGAATCCTGTTATCTTCTGTCAACAGAGAAAGCAGAAAGCTCCTGACACACCTAGGTCAATCAAGCTGAAGGATGGCATGGAGCCCAGCATAGTGGGCATGTCTCGATGATGCCCTCCGCACAGTGACAACTGGCTTGTAAGTGAGGCTGAGGAAAATCACACACGGCCAGCATTCCCTTCCACACGGAGTCAACGAGCCTGCTGAAATTTTGCACCCGGACTTGCGTCTGAGGCCGTGCTCAGCAAGTCTCCCTTCAGTGTCTAACACTCGGCCATTTGCCGTCACTTCTGCTGCCACTACAGAACATGTCTGTGTGGCAACCGCGTTCCTTTCACAGAGCTCAGATAGGCACAGCTCAGCACTTGTGGATGGAGCAACTCTAGAACCCCAACTCCAGGAAATAAGAGCTAGTTCCAGGACAGCCTCCAAAGCCACAGAGAAACCCTGTCTCAACACCCCCCCTGAAAAAAAGACAGACAGACTCAGTTTAACAAGCATGATGGGGTGCGGATCCTGATGTTGCCACTTTCCGGTAGACAAGCTGACTCCAGCCTGTTCAATGGAGGCCGACCACAGTTGCACTAGTCTCTTTTCTTTGCTGACAAAAATACTCTAATCATTCCAGGAAAATTCCCTTTTGAACAGGTGCTGTGGGCCCAGCTCTATAGTAGGAGCTTTATATGAAGGTCCTTATTTAACCCCCTCCCCCTCCACTCCCGTGCCCTCTCCATTCATTCATAAAGGCATAAGCTCCAATCCAACATTCAGGAGTGAGTGTTTTGAGAAATGACCTGATCTAATCAACAGGTTGATTCATCCATGACCGAACTCACAATCTGATGCCGTCGTGGGCTGTGGAGGGGACTGGGAAACCGGGCTTAGGTGGATGAACTGTGTCCCTGGGGCTGTGACTGTGGGTGAGCCAACTTGTCCTTGGTCCTTTCTCCTCTCTGTTTCCTAGCTGCCGTGAGTTGAGCTGCTTTCCTCGGCTGTGTCCTTGTCTTTGTTTCTTCTTTGCCACTAACAGCAATGCAGCCCGCTGGCTGTGCCCTGGACCTCTGAAAGAGAGAGCCAGAACTGGTCTTTTCTCCTCTGAAGCGCCTGCTCTCCGGTATTTTGTCAGCCAAAGAAAAGAGACTAGCACAACCATGGTCGGCCTCCATTGAACAGGTTGGAGTCAGCTTGTCTACCGGAAAGTGGCAACATCCGTACTGCATCATGCTTGTTAAACTGAGTCTGTCTGTCTTTTTTTTTTTTGAGGAGGGGGAGTTGAGACAGGGTTTCTCTGTGGCTTTGGAGGCTGTCCTGGAACTTGCTCTTGTAGACCAGGCTGGTCTCAAACTCACAGAAATCTGCCTGCCTCTGCCTCCCAAGTGCTGGGAGTAAAGGCGTGCGCCACCACTGCCCGGCCTGAGTCTGTCTTTCTACCAGTGAGCAGTAGCTGTACATTCGATAACATCTGCAGGGGTGAGGGCGTGGCCCTCCCTCCGAGTTCACATCTTCCTGCCCTTTCTCGGTCTCCCCCAAGCTCAGCTCTCTCCTTTCACATCCATCACATCCGGGTAATGCTTGTCCTAAGAGGTTCTCATTTTGTGGGAGACCCTGTGTCCTTGGGATAGCGTTTCCCTTTTGTGAGCGGCCTCTGGTCACAGGCTCGCTGCCCGTGGCTCGCTCCTCGGTCCTGAAGCAGGGCTGACTCTGCAGAGCAAAGGAGTGACAAATGACCCGTCCTCTTGGCTGCTGTGGTTTAAAAAGCACAGTCATCCATCCAAGTCCCACAGTTTCCATCTCGTTGTCAAGGATGTCTGATGACGTTTGTGAGCCAGCAAGGTGAAAGCCTCCCAGATGTCAACCTACGGATCACAGCACGGCTTCCTAAGCCCCTTGCCGTGTTCTCAAGTGGAAGCCGCACAGAAAGAGTTGGACAGGTCTGAATGTAACCTACAGGGAATCTGTCCTCACTCGAATTATGATGAGCATGAAGAACCGGCAAACTTTTGAGAGTGAACAAACTTACCAGACGCTTGCTAGGGTATAGTTCTAATAGCTGCTGAAAGCCCAACCCTTAGTTTCCCGCTTCCCTCTCCCCGACACTCTATCTCCCGTGTTTCTCTCTAACTGTACACTCTATTTCACTGTCCTTGGGAGACGCATTCCTCTCTGCTAGCCCCTTGCTCTATCTCTGGCTATAAGCCTGCTTATTGAAGACTTAAAAACTAGCTAGTATCCATATACAGAATGGCAACAAATTTTAATGTGGCTCTGTGGAGCCAATAAGTGAATGCGTTTTAATGCATCTATATGACAAACATCTTTGTTTATGGAAAAATCATTTGACCTAATAGGACTATCACAGCTTTATGTTCTTGACTTGGAAAATATTCTTTTGTATTTAGTACCACTTAATAAGATCACATTACTTTGGCATTAAAACATTATTTTTTTAAATTATGCTATTTTTTTATATCTAGACTGGTCACTGAAAAGCCAGTATTCCAGTCTTAGGGTTTCTTTCTTTCCTTCCTCCTTTCTTTCTTTCTTTATTCATTTGGTTTTTCAAAACAGGGTTTCTCTGTGGCTTTGGAGGCTGTCCTGGAACTCACTCTTGTAGATCAGGCTGTTCTAGATCTCACAGAGATCTGCCTGCCTCTGCCTCCCTATTGCTGGGATTAAAGGCTTGCGCCACCAACACCCGGTGAAAAGCCAGTACTCTGAGGAGGACTTCTCTCTTTGTAGTTCTAGAGGCGGTCAGAAGAGTTGAAGGCTGGTAGTACCACTGTTAGGAAATGTGTGATCAGGTTAGGGCTGCTACTGACGTTCGAATTGCCTTGAAAAATCAGGTTCCTAGAGCAGAGTGACGGGGGACTGTCCTTCTAAAGGCTGTGACTATGTTTCTCTTATTGTCTTAATAAAACGCTGATTGGCCAGTAGCCAGGCAGGGAGTATAGGCGGGGCTACCAGACAAGGAGAATGCTGGGGAGAGGACACAGAGAGAGGCCGCTAGGGAGACGCCATGTAGCTACTGGGAAGGTAGGACTCGGGGCATTCTCCGGTAAGCCAAAACCACATGGAGACACACAGATTAATAGAAATGGGTTAATAAATAAGAGAGAGCTAGCCAGTAACAGAGAGGGAGGTCTGATGACCAAAGGGATTAAGACTGGGCTGGTTTAACCCCCAGAAACAGCTGACCAGACAAAGGTTAACTCTTGAATCCCAGACTGATGCCTGGGAATCCAGCATGGGACTGATCAAGACCCCTGAATGTGGGTGTTAGTGAGGAGGCCTAGGTAATCTATTGAGCCTTGGGCAGTAGATCAGTATTTATCCCGGGTATACAAGTGGGCTTTGGACTCCCATCCAACAATGTGAGATGCACTCTCACCCTGGACTCTTGGGGAAGGTTCTAGGCCCTGCCCTATATGAAATGACAGACTATGGACACCCCCATGGAGGGCCTCACCCTCCCTGGGGAAATGAGGGGATATTGGGGGTATTGGAGGGAGGGCACGGGAGGAGGGGAGGGAAAGGGAGAGGGACCTGGAGCTGACTTGTGAAGCAACCTTGTTTCTTATCTAAATTTAAACTTAAAAATAAATATTAATAAAAAGAAGATAAAAAAGAAGCCTGAGCCATTGGCCAAGCAGTTTATAATTAATATAAGCCTCTGCGTGTTTATTCGGGACTAAATGGCTATGGGACCGGACAGGAAAGACACTCATGTCTACAATGGAGTGCTCGCCCTGTAGTCTTATCCGCTTTGAGTTGGAAATTCTTTCCTTTGCCTGCCGTTAAACTCTCACCGCTTCCTGTCCCCTTTCCTGTGACGAACAAGGACGTGAGTCCTGTTAAAGTTTGAGCTTGAGATTATAAATCTGGAGGAGGTGGTTGTGACTGACACAAGCTTTCACATTGTATGGGGTTTCCACCCCACCTGTAGCGACTGGCTATTGGGGTGTCACCTGACCCTGACCCTAACCCTACCAGAAAATGGAGTGACAGAGGCTTCACTAGGCTTCAAGAAATGCTCACAAGGGCCTAGGCAGCCCCCCTAGTCTAAGGGACCTACACTAGGAACCCTAGAAGATTCCAGGTGCATCCATCCCATTTGAGACAGGTGCCGGAATTCGGCTGCTATTTTGTAGCACAGGCCTTGAGGTGGGGTTTTCTGGAGGTTTGTTTTTGTTTGTTTCTTGAATTAGAGACTGAGCCCAGGGCATAATATGTGTTAATCATACACTCCACCACTGAGCTGACACTTTTTTGTTGGCGAACTAATTGCAACAAGATTTATTTCCCACGTGAAGTCATCGATCAGAGAAACATTCACGTGCCCACGATCACCGACACCCCATCAATTCTCTATAATGCAAAGCTGCACCAGGATCATCTTGACAAGTGTCTACAAACTATTGGTTTAGAAGACACCTGAGGACGATGCCGGAACAGCCAGACACCTGCTTACAAACACCATCAGCCCAGACACAGACCTTACACCATTCACAGGAAGTAGCTTGAAGTTGACCACAGACCCGAGTATAAAGCGCAAAACTGTGGAATCCCCTGCAGGAGATTGCAGTAGAAAACACGCGTGAGCCCAGGTTGGGCACACTTCAGACCCAGCACCCAAATCTTAATCCAGGAAAGAATCGATGCACTGGGCTCCATTAAAATCAAAGGCTTTTGCTTTGCGAGCCCGCTGTCCCAAGGGAGAAGGAAAGTCGTGGACCAGGAGAACATGGGTGAGAGGAGACACAGCCGGTAAGACAACATGAGATGCCACGAATCGCCTGTGAAGAGACGGCACCAAATGTCTATGTGAACGCAGGGCATCAGGTACACACAGATGTGGATGACAGCCACGTGGTTCTTAGGAGACCAGCTGGACCCCTCCCATGACTCAGGCTCCTCTGCGTTTACCTGCAAAAGAGCTGGAAACATCTCCGCACAAGCAAGCTGTGCCCACCACGGTGGCCTAAGCTACTGAAACGAGCAGGCTGAGTCGCACCCCGACAGTGGGTTGTTAGCCACTGATGAAAGGAGTGAGCACCCGGGCCCTGAGTAGGCGCGTCAGTGAGTGAAAGAAGCTGATTAGAGGAGACCCCAGACCCCCGGATTCCAGCTCTGTGACATTATGAGAGAAGCAAGGCTGTAGAAATGGCTTAAGTCGTTTCCAGGGCTTACGGGGTGGGTGGAATTCATGGGACGCAGAAGGTGGCTTTTGTGGTAAAGCTATTCCGAATGACACCGTAACGGTAGACACGTGCCAAGGGCATCATCTAAACCTATAAAAGTGCATGCCAAGGAGTTCATGGGCGTCAACTATGGACCTTCGACAGCCGGTGATGGTGTGTGTAGACTCATCAGCTTCAGCTGAGGTACCAGTCTGGCTGATAACGGAGAGCTGTGTGAGGGCAGGGGGTACGCGCGACATTTATTAGTTACACTTTATTGCTGTGATAAAGCACCATGACCAAGGCAGCTTGTAGGAGGAAGGGTTTATGGGGGTTTGTGCTTCCAGGGGGGATAAGAGCTCATCATGACCACAGTGGTGGTCGGGGTGGCAGTAGGCAGGCGTGGCTGTTGGAATAGTTGAGCGCTCACATCTCTTAACTGCAAGGAGGAAACAGCTCAAACTGAGAACGACACGTGACATGGAAACCTCAGATGTGCTTCCTCCAAATAGCCTCAGCTCCCCCCAAATAGCACGACTAACTAGAGGCCAACTATTCAAAAGCCTATGGGGACATTCTCATTCAGCCAGCACAGGGTACCACTGCAACTTCTAATGCTACAGTGGCCCTAAAACGCCTTCAAATTACCTTAAAAAAACTAACTTTTGCAACAAATTTGAGGGTGAAAAGTTCCCTAAGTCGGTTTTGACACTAAGAGCTACACCCCGTTTGTAAAAGCTGGTATTCCCAAATGCCAAGAAAAAAAATGCCACTCTTGAAGATCACGAAACCTAGTACTTGCGTTTCTAATTGTTTATTAACTGGATAACATCAGAAGCCCTCTTCAACTCCACCTGCTTGGTTTCTGCAAATGGAGGATTGTAGCACTCACCATCCCCCACCAAGCCGGGTTGTTACCGCTGACTGAAATAAATGATGTAAACGCCCTTTGATCTTCGTGAAAATCTTCGTGTGGTGCCTCCCTTGCTTTTCTTTCCTCTCTCGCAAGGATTGCCCCAGTAAGAGTAGATGGCCTTAGACCTTATCGTCCTCTGAGGCACCAGCCGTTCCTCATGTAAACACTCAGATCTGTTACCTTTGTTCACTTGACTCTCATGGGAAGAACACAGCTCACTTGTGACCCTGGACTCTGTAAACATAAAACGTACCCTCCTTTCTCTTTAGAGACGGAGAACCTAAGAGACACGAAACTTGAGATGTTTATGGTGCCGTGGGACCTGAGGTGACCAATACTTCGCTTAACAGAAAACCGAGACTATGAAAACACCTGTGTGGTACAAGTATCCCTGATGAAACTATATGATACCTAAGGTAAACATACAGCGATTTCCATGCATTGCAGGAAACTCTCCTCTGTTCCTTCACAGCGGTCTATGTGTGAGTTCATAAGCCATTGATCTCATTAATCTTGTACTTAATGCAGTTGTTAGGGCACAGGGATATACAATCAGCCTGAGCTCACTGTCTGCCACTGTGTAACGAACATACAAGTAATCACACTGACTTTCCCATAGGAAGCTTTGCAGAATTAGTCAAATAAGGCAGGAAGCCAGCCAAGCCATAGTAAGTCTTCAATAAAGATTACTGTTATCGATATATCCATTCATATACTATTCCTAATGTATTCATGATGAATTTTTGTACTACTAGTGGTATATGACCTGCTAATCGATGCAAGCATATCACTTCATGCTGTTAACTGTGGATATAACTAATGTCTATAATACATTTTTTAATATCCTCTTATGATAGGTCATTGTGCCCCTTCGTTTCCCACAAGATTCATGAGCTGAAGCCTGTTTAGAGATGTGGTCATTGCAGAGATCATCAAGTAAAAATTCAACTGGAAGTGTGACATTTCACCAGGCTGGAAACTAAAGCTGTCACAGAGGGAAGGAAGGTTGTGGCTCCAATTCAAGATATACCAGAGGCAGGGCTTACTTGGCTCTTGAGTGGGAGAGAGGGGACGTAGTGGCTGTTGGCATGTGGTCAGGGCAGAGAAAGTGGGACCGTGACAGGAGCGAACCTGCACGTCCGTGCCTAGTGGAGCACCACCCACAGTAACCAAGTACAGCCTTGCTGCTCGTCAACCGATGCATGGGTGTGTGCACGATGACATTTACACGACGGGCTTTGGTTGAGCCATCAAGAATGAAACGACGCTATCTGAAGGAGAACGGATGGACCTGAATGTTGTGGGATATTACCTTCACTGTGTGAGGATGGCTGCGTTGGTTTATGCTTGTGGGACGTTTACTTTAGCCAGGCAAAGATGTGTTAAACGCTTGTTTAAGCCAGATTTGCTTAGACTGCGCTTGTTTAACAACTTACAGATGGGTTGCTTTGCCTGCCTAGGGCACCTGATTGGTCTGATAAAAAGCTGCCAACAGCTAGGCAGTAGAGGGGTTAGATAGGCAGGGCTGGCAGGCAGAGAGAATAAGTAGGGGGGAATCATCTAGACTAGAAAGAGAATGAGAGCAAGGTAGAAAGAGAGAAGGATGCCTAGGGCTAGGCAGCCACTAGACAGACAGACAGACAGACAGACAGACAGACAGACAGACAGACACAGAGTAGGGCATACCGAATGGAAGAAAGATTAAAAAGAAGCCTGAGGCAAAACATAGATGAAGAGAAAGAGGTTAAATTAAATGTTAAGAGCAAGTGGGATAAGCATAAGGCCAAACATTCCTAACTAATAAGAAGCCACTGTGTCGTGATTTTTGGAGCTGATTGCTGGCCCACAGAAAGCCTGCAGCAACTGAAGGCTACCTAAGCTTATTTTGGCCAGTACTGTTCCAATGCAGAGGCTTTGCTGTTGCTTGTTTTATTTTTGGTGAAGTGTTGCTATGAGGTCCAGGCTAGCCTCAATTTCATAATCCTTCCACCTTAACCACCTAAGTGGCTGCTTTACAAACGTGCACCACCTTGTCTAGCTTATGAGAAAGTTTTTATTTTAAATTTGTAAGGTGTCACATGTCTTTCATTCCAAAATGCAAGAGGTAGAGGCGGGAAAATCCCTCTGAATTTGAAGTCAACCTGATTTATATAGAGTTCTAGGCAAGCCTGATCAACACACTGGGCCTGCCTGATCTACGCAGAGAGCTCTTAGGCCAGCCAGAGATGTATAAAGAGTTCTAGGCCATCCTTATCTACACAGAGAGTTCTAGGCTAACCCTGACACATAGACAATGATGGAGATTTAAGTTGTTTTATGAGTATGTCTGCGTGTTTGCATGCCGCGTGTGTGCCTGTACTCTCAGAGGTTGGAAAAGTGTGTTAGATCTGGAACTGGAGTTGCAGACATTTGTGAGCTGCCATGTGGGTCCTGAAACCGAACCTAGAACCTTGGAAAGAGCGACAAGTGTTCTTAAGACCCGAGCCATCTCTCCAGCCCTTAAAATGACGTTTTTATATAATCAAAGTTATCAGTTTTCTCTTCTTGCTTCTAAATTTTGATGTGCTATTAGAAAAAGGTTTCATCATTGACAAATCATTTAAAAATTCATACAGTATTCAAACTACTTACATAAATCGACCCTTATGGAATTTCTTATGCCATGGGACAGGGATTTGACCTAAGTGGGGAGCAATAGGCAATGAATCTCAAATCTGTGTAAGAGATACCATTTTAGCATCCAAAATGTTCTCGTGAGAAGAGTTAGGACCACTCTGGGGACACGTAAGCAAATAGATGTCATGAATCCTTATGGAAAGATAATGCAACAAAGAATTCAGCTGCCTCCGTGTGACTTCAACGACCTCCTTGAGTACACAATGATGAACAGGCATACATGTGTGTGTGAGCAACAGAGCTCACGTAGACGGTTTTTTTAATAGGGGAAAGGGAGTAGGGAAAGGAGACAGGGAGACCGGCCTCTGGGGACAGAAGCGGCAGAAGAGAAAGGAGAAGGGGAGGCAGAGAGACAGAGAGTTGGGAGGTGGGCAGGGCCCCTTTAAAAAGGGAACGTAGTGAATGTGCACAGGTGGTGCTCTCAGTGACTGCAGCTGAGGGTGTATCCTGTCAGAACCCCAAGGGTTCCATATACTAACACTAGGAATCATGAAGGAGTGACAACTTCATTTCACCTTGGCCAAGTGGGAGCAGGAAAAATTAAGCCTTCCAGAAGTGTGTATTATAATCTTTATCCAATTACAAGTGAGTTTTACCCTGTTCCAGGACTCCTCAAAGGGGAACTGTGTCTTTAGAAGCCTGCCTGGTAACACAGAAACACCAGTGCTCACTGGCCATTCAGATACAGCATATTAAAGCCTGATGCGCTAGATCCGATGACAGCAGGTGGAATCCCTTGATGAAATATGTTGGCTAAATTTGATTGGCAGATGACAATCAAAATACTCTTCAGACTCCAGGGTTCAGCAGTTTAGGGCACAGAGCCCGTGAGAAGATTTCTCTTTTTTTTTCTTTTAAAATCATTTTCTGCATTCATTTTATTTTATTTTCTTCTTTATCTTTTACAGGAGAAGTCTTTCTGTGTTGCTCACGCTGTTCCAAGTCTTGGACTCTAGCAAGCTCCCCACTTCAGGCTCTGGGTACCACTGTACCCACCACAGAACGTCTACTGTGGCCCTTGTGTCACAGAATAGAGAGGTTCAGTTGGGTCAGGGTGTCTTCATTTTTTTTTGTAGCAGTCCACACAATTATTAATGGTACGAATGGATTTCAAACAGTTTATCCATCTGAGTACGAATCTCATTATTCATCATCTCTGTAATCATCCAAAAATAATGGTTACATTAAAGCTATTTTTATCTTGATGATAATGCATTTTAATGCTCCATCTGTAGAGCAACTGCCAAGGAACTGTAAAAGTAAGAGCGGCGATTATTTTCATGTAGGAACCAATGAGGCTTCCACAGTCACTGGTTTTCACACGAGTGGTCTAGTCAGCCAGCATGTAATGGCATCTTAATTTTTAGAATACACTGGAGACTGGGGGATGATTTTGAGCAAGATAGTGATAGAAGAGAACAATAGTTCGTTCGAAGGCAAATTACCTTTCAAGGGGATAAAATGCCCGTGCTTGTACTGGGTGAAATTCTCCAGTACGTCCTCAGATATCATGATGTTTCATTTTCGAAACATACAGGTGAATATCTTGGCCGTCTATATGATTGAATTCTTGTTTGTTCAGTCTGTCGTAAAAGAGTCGGGCATGACTCCCTGTCACTGCTGGCTCTGCCACCTGAGTACCCCTGGTCTTTTCAGCCCTCACTATTCCTCAACAAGCACAGATGTGGTGCCACAGCCCTATGGCCAGGAAGAAGGATTTGAAAGGGATCCCTTTCCTACGCTCTCTGCCTGTCTTGAGGGCTTAGGTTTCCAGCTGCCTCCCAAAGGCCTACGATGATGGGAACAGGTTAAGTGGAGGTGAGTTGTGAACAAGACGGTGATGTTAGCGTCACTGACTGGGAGGCCATTAGGTGAGGCGACTCGGTGCATGGGGTTCCTAGATAAGCAGACTGAAAACCAGTCCAAGGTTGGTATCTCACCTCTATAGGACTTGCTTTCCCCACACAAGGTTCCTACACAAGGAATGAAACTATTCCTAATTTTAAAAGTTGCCGGCAGCTTGAATTTGGTCCTAGAAGCCACTTGAAAAGCTGGGCACAGTGGTGTATGCACGTCTAATCCCAGTGCTTCCAAGTGGAGACGGCGAGATTCCCGTGGGGGCTCGCTCCTCCTCCACATAGCCTGCTTGGTGAACTTCAGAGCAGCAAGGGACGTCTCTAAGAAAGCAGGTGGTGAGCGGGACAGCTCTTATGTCAAAGAAGGTGAAAGGTGAAGACTGACAGCTGAGGCTGTCCTCTCGACCTCCATGGACCACATACTCTGAACGTGCTCTCCCTCACAGACAAACATATGTACACATACATCATACACACACACGTACACAATATTTGCGTGTGTGTGTGTGTGTGTGTGTGTGTGTGTTTTAAAGTTTAATTCCAGTACATGGAAAGCTGTTGCTTCCATCTCCATTTGAACATCACCGAGTTAAATATTCTCAAACACCAAAATAATTCCTAAGTCACCACCAACAAGTTTTGGATAAACACACCAATTCTGATTAGCACAGGAGATAGGAACTGGCCGGGTAGGGCAGACCCACATCGGCGGGTCTGAGGACATCCCCATGAGAGGCCAGCCATGCCGGAAGAGAGCTCTGTTTGCTTGCTTTATTTTTGTTTCTTCTTCCTAGTGCCTGAAGGCTGTGGCTACATGCCGGAGACAGAGGAGACGCCTGGACACCTGGCTGGCCAACTGGACTGACCAGATCTCCTCGTCCCAGTATTTCACCCCAGTCTCTGCCAAGAGTCCTTTCAAAAGGCCCCGGCCTCACAGATCCATAGTACCTCACTCCCGAACCCCTCTCGCCCCCACAGACCTGCCCCCTTCCTGTCTCTGAAGCCCCTATAGTAAAATCCTCCTTCCTGAAACTTACCCTCTATGACTCATGAATTTCATTCCTCAAATTCTTGAGACAAGAATCTAAAAATCCACTGGACTGAGTGAAAGTTTTATGGGACTGTGTGTTTGGCACCCTAACTTCTGAAGCCAAGACCAGGCAAGGGCAAAAAACAAAACAAAACAAAACAAAAAATCTCCGGTGCACTCAAAGATACCCTAACATTCCCATAGAAATTCTCTAGATCAGCACAGATAACGTAGCATTTTTTTTTTGTCCCTAAACAAAACCACTTCACTGTGGATGAAATAAAAGATTACTGCCTTCATGTTCCTTGCCAGGGACATCAAGCCAAGCCAGTCTTTATACCTGGAGGAAATAACAAAGAAGAGGTCTGTAAAGATCTGAAACTGGGCATTTCTTCAACAAAGAAAGATAAAAGCCTCTCTAGGAGAAAAAACAAAAACCAAAAGCCAAAAACCAAATAAAATGGACCCATTCCTGTTCTTTTTTCCCTACAAAAGATCTCCCAAGCAGAGGTGTGCCTACTAACGTTTAACAACTGACTCTCTGGGGGGGGGAGGGGATAATGTATGTGTCACACAGGCTTACTATATACAAGGAGTACACCACAAAATTGAAGAATGAAAATGGGGTTCCGGGAGATGGATGATGATAATAGGCTTGTTGTAGACATGAAGCCTTGTGTCTGGATCCCTGTACCCACATAAAAAGCCAGGCGTAGAGTATTCGCCTATAGTTTGTCCCGGTGCTGAAGAGGTAGAGGTATTGAGGCCTCTGGGGCTCAGTGTGCTGGTCAGCTAGTACTGTTGGTCAGTGATCGCAGTGTTTACTAAGACATCCTGCCTCAAACAAAACAAAATGTTGATCTGTAACCTCCACATGGACCTGAACCCCAGTGAGGGTGCACCCCCTGACCCATCACACATGCACACGAAATAAATAAAAATATGCTGCATCCGCCTTTTTTAACTCGATAGTGGAGTTGATTCCCACACAGGCTCTTGGTTTTGCTGAGCCTTTGGCTCTACAGCTAACCTGCAGCAGCTGCGGTTGTGTGATCTGCTCACGGACGGTGGCTTCACCTTTATGTCCGTGAACGTGTTAGCATCAGT